TTTGTTCCTATCAGTCAGCGCGCACTATGCCTTAGCACAGCAAGTGCACTATGCGGCCTTCTTTGGATACCGCCTCGGAGCAGGGCGCTGGGCCACCATCGGCGTCCCCTGCACGTGGGGGTGGTGCCTCTGGACGACTGGACTACCAGGCGAACAGAGCGAAGTACGCCGACACCCACCTACAGCCCGGATGGACATCGCCTGGAGGAAGAAGGCAACCTACGACCGGACACCGGACCGGGGGGGCCGCGGGTTTTCGGTCGCGGGGCGCGGGCTGGCCCACCTCGCCTCGCTGATTCTCCGGGCCGGCGACATAGAAGAAAACCCCGGGCCCCGCTACCCCTGCGGAGTGTGCGGCAAAGGAGTCGGCCACACGTCGGTGAGCTGCCGCGCGTGTGAACGATGGCATCACCACCGCTGCGCCGGCCTGACACGAGCCGACATCAGCCGCCTCGCCAGGGAGCGGGGCCCCTGGACCTGTCCTGGATGCGCGGCGATGCCCCCCGCGCCCCCGAGGCCGCGGACCCCGGCCACACCTGCCCAGCCACCACCACCGTCACTGCCACCGACGATGAGCGCCCAACAACCGCCACGGCCACCGGCGAGGAGGGACGACCCACAGCCGCCACCGCCACTGGCGATGAGTGACTCATCACTGCCGTCGACACCGGCAAGGAGCGAAGAACGCCAGCCGTCTCCACCACCGACGAGGAGCGACGAGTCTCGTACAGCCACACACCCGCGGACGCAGGCGCCCGAAAACCGCGGCGAGCAGAGCGAACTGAAGATACTGCAGCTGAACTGCAATGGCCTCGCCGCCCGCCTCACTGAGCTCAACAAACGCCTGGCAGGAAGCAAGCCTCAAGTTGTCCTACTGCAGGAAACCAAGTTAATGCAACAGGACGACGACCCTCGCTTCCCGGGATACAACGTGGCGGCCAGAAGAGACACCCCGAACTTCCAAGCACCACCGCCGCCAGCGCCACCACCGCCGCCGCCGCCACCGCCACCGCCACCGCCACCGCCGCCACCGGCCGGCTGGACTTGTAAGCGCCGGGATCGACTCGCGCCTCACACGTGGTGCGCCGGCTGCAGAGCTAAGCGTGGATGCACCCAGAGGGCCCAGCCCCCCGCGCCAGGCCCAGTAGCGGCGCCACCCAGCAGGAGCGCGCCACGTCGGACCGGAGGGGGGCAAAGGGGCAAGGGCGGGGTAATCACCCTCGTCCGTGAGGACCTGCCCTACACCCGCGACCCGGCAGCCTACACACCACGGGAAGATGACCAGCACAGCTACGTGGCGGCGACCAAAATTCACCCTCATGGCGTGCCTGCGATTACGGTCTGGAACGTCTATGCCCCGCCGGCGAGGTGGGCTCCTGGACAGGGCACCCAGGCGCAGTCCTTCCAGCCAGACGGACTGCCCCTGGTGCCCTACACAATCGTGGGCGGAGACCTGAACGCGCACGCAGTAACATGGGACCCCCACCAGCCGGAGGACCCGCTCGGGAGAACCGTCGAGGAGTGGAGCTGCGACACATCGCTCACGATCCTGAACGACGGCTCTGCGACAAGGATGAACCCTGCCACAGGAGGATCCTCCGCTCCAGATGTGACGCTGGTGTCTGGTGAACTGGCGAGCGACGCAACATGGACGACGAACGTAGGAATCGGGTCCGACCACCTCCCGATCACCATCACCATCCCTACCGCACCACCGAAACGTGTCCGAAGAGGCAGAGGCCGACCAGCCTACAGGAAGGCAAACTGGGAGGAGTTCCGACGCGCCTACGACCAGCTGGCACTAAGGTGGGCTACCCCGACAGAACCCCTCACCGTCACGCAGCTGGACCGACGCTTCTCCTCGACCATCCTCAGGGCAGCGAAGCAGGCGATCCCGTACGGGAACGGCGGGAAGACTAGAGCTCCCTTCTGGAACTCAGCCTGCGACGCAGCAGTCCAGGCCAGGGACGCGGCCAGGAGGAGAGCCACCGCCCAGGACCGCACTGCAGAGGACATCCGCGCCTACGGAGAAGCGAGGAGAGAAGCCGAACGGGTGATTAGGGACGAGAAGACTGCTTTCCTGAGGGACAAGATCGCCGAACTGGGACCAAACCAGGATATGTGGGGCCTAATACGCGCCCTGGACGGCCGGAAGCCACCAGCCAAGCCCGCCGAGCCCCTGCAACGCCCGACCCTGCCTGGCCATCCCGCTCCTGCCCGGCCAGCGATTACAGACAAGGAGAAGGCCAACGCGCTCTGCCAGGCCTATGCCGCGGTGTCGCGCATCCCGTCGGACAAGACGGCTGACCGACCTATCAAGATGGAGGCGCGCGCCGCGGTGAGGGGATGCAGCTGCGGCGGATCACGAGCCGGCATGTGCAGCCCCTTCTCCATGGCTGAACTGGAAACAGCGCTGACCAAGATTAAAGCTGGCAAGAGCCCAGGGTCAGACAAGGTGGCCAACGACCTGCTGAAGCAGCTGAGCCCACTCGGCAAGCGCCACTTCCTGGACCTCCTGAATAGGACGTGGTCCGCTGCCGACGTGCCTGCCTCCTGGAGAGTAGCGGAGATAGTGGCGATTCCGAAGAAGGGAAAGCCGCCGTCGGAGCTGTCCTCCTACCGCCCCATCAGCCTACTGAGCAGCACCAGTAAGCTGGCGGAGCGGCTGGTGCAGGGGAGGCTGCAGCACTGGCTCGAATCCAGCGGGAAACTAAACCGAAACCAGGCGGGCTTCAGACGCGGCCACTCCACGATGGACCAGATCGGACGGATCACCCAGCAGATCTTCGACGCCTTCGAGCAGAAGCCACCACATAGGGCCGTGCTTGTTCTCCTGGACTTCGCTCGCGCCTATGACCGGGTCTGGAGGGCAGCCCTCTTCTGCAAGATGGCGCGACTGGGCATCCCCGGCTGTGTGATCCGCTGGATCAAGGCCCTGCTCTCCGACCGCCGTGCTAGAGTCCGATGGGGAGCCGCCCAGTCGGACTCGCGTGTCTTCAAGGAGGGCCTCCCGCAAGGAAGTGTCTTGGCACCCCTCCTATGGCTCATTTACGTCAATGACATCGACGAGGGCCTACCGGAGGATGTGGCGCGATCCCTGTTCGCGGACGACGTGGCGCTGCTGGCCGACGCCCGCACGCCGGAAGAGTGCGACGCCCACCTCCAGCCGTGTCTGGACAGCATCGGCACTTGGCTGACGCGGTGGAAGGTGACGCCCAGCGTCTCCAAGTGCACGAGCACCCTCTTCTCGCTCGACCCCAAACAACAGCGAGGAAGAGTCCGGCCAAATCTGAAGCTCCACGGACAGGAGATCACCGCCACCGAACACCCGACCTTCCTCGGCATCAAGTTCGATCCGCAGCTGACCTTTGCTGAACACGTCGCCGACCTGAAGGCGAAGATGGCCCGACGAAGGCGATGTCTGCAGGCGATGGCAGGAAAGACATGGGGCAGCCACCGTCGCACTCTCCGGACCGCCTACATCGGTTACGTGCGAGCGCTGTTCGACTACGGCGCCGCCGTAGTCGGCACACATGCAGCGCCGTCCGTCAGGGAGCGACTGGAGGCCGAACAGAACAAGTGTGCTCGCCTCATCACCGGCTGCATCCGCCTGACTCGCACGGACGCCCTGCTCGCCGAAGCCGACCTCCCGCCACTGTCACTGCGCGCGAAGCAGCTGGCCGGACAGGAGTGCCAGCGCCTCGCCAGACTCCCCGCACTCGACCCTGCCAGGACCCTCCTGGAGAAGGAGGTGCGGCCCCGGCTGGAGTACCGAGCCCACCTGGCATGGCGGAGAGACTGCACGCAGGCAGAGGCGGCGCGGAGGCCGCCACCGAAGCCGCCCGACGAGGACGTGGTGCTCACCAAGAAGCCGTGTCTCAGGCGGGTGGGCCGGTGGATCGCCGACGAAGCCGGGCTAAAGCAGCTGCCGACTGAACCACTGGCGCTGTACCAGTGCCGGCCGCCCTGGACAGTGGAGAGGACTCCCGCCCACTTTGTGGTGGACCTGCCCGCGCCTACGCGCCGCACAGACCCCCCCCCCCCCCGACAAGCGCAGAGAGGCGGCGCTCCGGGCCATAGAACTCCTGCCGCACGCGGACGTCACCATCTGGTCGGACGGGTCGGCGAGAGAGGGGACGACATGTGGCGGCGCGGGCGCGCTGATCCAGCTCCACTGCCTCGGCCGTGAGGAACGTATCAGGGCCCCGGCCGGCGCAGTGTGCAGCAGCCTGCGTGCCGAGCTTACCGCCATCAGGGAAGCACTGGTTGTGATAACCTCCCTACCTGAAGAAGACCGAGAGCCCGTCCGCGCAGTCCACCTTTTAACCGATTCCAAGTCCGGCCTGCAGCAGCTTCAGAGGGGACCGGCCGGCCAGGTGACCGCCCTGGCCGCCGACATCTGGGAGTGCCTACACACCCTCAGCGAGCGTGGCACCACCGTCACCTTCCAGTGGGTGCCGGGGCATGCTGGCCTGGACGGCAACGAGCACGCTGACCAGCTGGCCGGTGAAGCGGCCGCTGCGGAGCAGCCGGACGTACAAATCGACTTCGCCAGCGCCAGAAGCGCGATCGGGCGCCGGGTGGGGACGATGGTCGACGCGAGAACAAGAGCGTCCCACCCCCACCCGGCGCCCACACCGGGCCATAACGACCTGCCCCGCTGGGAGGCGTGTACTCTCTCCCAGCTGCGAACGGGTGCATCGCCGCTCACGCGGGACGTCGCCCACCGCCTAGGCCTGGCGGTGGACGCGGCCTGCCCCGCGTGCGGCGAGCCGGACAGCGCGGCCCACCTGCTGACCGACTGTCCGGCCTATGAGGCTGCGCGGCGCCGCCGCTGGGGACTCAACCCGAGCCTGGGGGACGTCCTCGGCGGACCGGCGTCGTTGGTGATTGAATTCATCCGGGCCGTCGGGCGGACCGACCCTCCGGTCGACCCGCCTGCGCCGTCGTCCCCCTAGGGGGGCGGCGGGTGAGGTGCAAAAGAAGAAGAAGAAGAAGAAGCAGGGCGCTGGTCCTGGGTGCATGGCGCCTTTTGTTCGTGTACGGCTAGCAGCATTTTCGGGGTCCGATGGTTTCCGCAGTGGCGGCGCTGGTCACCGTGGAGCCGTCGGACGACACCGTCAGATGGAGCGCCCGCAACTGGTGACCTGTGACACAGCGAGTCGCGACACGTCAGATCTCACGACGACCGTCACGTTTCAGTCGCGACGGCCGTTATATTAACAGTCACGGCGGCCGTTATATAAACAGTCATGGCGGCCGTCACATACCATGCACAGTGACCGTTACACACGAGTCAAGGCGACCATCAATTAGCAGTCACGGCGACGTCACAGGTTGCGACGGTCCTCACATTTCCGCCACGGCGACGATAACTCATAGCTCATAGCGTTTCCTGTCGCACACTTCGCCATAATTGCAATACATTAACCTGTTTATGCGTTTCTCACTCAAAAGTCGAGGCCCGAGTCTGAGACCCATCATACGTCACGACCCCTGCAACGGCACCTGCATTAGCAGACATCCCCTTCCGGCAACACACAAAGTTCTCTCCACTCTCCAGCCACTCACCTAGGGACTTGGGGGGGGGCGAACTAATCTTGGGGGTGACATAGCCATAGTTAAGGCCAGGATGTGCGTCGAGCTGCCGTCGGCGGGCGTGCTACGAATGGCCGGCGGACCTCCGTCAGCTGGCGGGCCACCATCAACTGGTGGGCCGTGGTCGGCCGACGGGCCGGCGTCGGTCGGCGAGCCACCGTCAGCCGGCCGGCGGGCCACTGTTGGCCATTGAGCCGACGTCCGTCGGTGGGCCTCCGTCTGCTGGCGGGCAGTCTGAATAACAACAAATAGTTGAATTAGTTACTCTAGTGTTCATTGTTCAAGTTCATTAAGTACAAGTCTCAGCACACCCAATTCTAATCATATACACCATATATCCATTTCACTCTACATTGCTTTACAGCCATTTTTAGAATAATATTAGTCTTATGTTAGTAAGTGAAATGCTTTTGTGTTCAGTCAGGCCTGTTGATACCATTGCAGAAATGCAGACCATTGCAGAGCTGGAAGGATGATAGGGAATTAGCTGCTGTGCTACAGTGGCAGTGTTTCTGGCTACAGGTCAGGACGTCCACACTTACCTACAGTAGGGCCTGAGATGGATCTTGGACCCCTGTCAGTGCGGTCTCCCTCTTGATGGTGTAATGGGCTGAGGAAAATCAAAGTGATGTTAGTGCTGCAACTTATCACAGTTATGAGCAAGGTTTGGATTATAATAGGCTTGGTTTGGTTAGGTTACAAATTAAAATTAACGGCATTAGTAGAGCAGATGTCAAATGAACTATGAAGGGTTTCCAACCAAGGAGAGGCACAGCTGTAGGTTTGTAGGTTGTATGATTTTAGGTTGTAGCTGACTTGTAGGTTAGGTTACGTCAGGTAAGGTTTGGTTTGGTGTTAAAAAGAAGACTCTCTGGGTAAAGCGCCTCGCCTTGGTTGGAAAACATTTCTATAATGTCTGCTCTACTCTGACTCATAGGCGGCGGAATGGGAAGGGCACCAGGGCACCGTGCCCCCCTTTGATTTTGGCATTTTAACATTAGCCCTATGGGTGTTGCATGGAAAGAATGGGACCAAAAGTCAGCGGTGCCCCCCCTTAATCGAAGGTGTTCCGCCGCTACTGCTCTGACTCATACCCAAATACCTTGGTCACAAGTGACATCAACTTATCCGAGCATGATAGATAATGAAACAGAAACAGTATATGCATATGGACCCCAACCCAACAATACATCAACTTTGTGCGTACCTACAAAAAAAGCTGCTGGCAACGCCTGTCCCAGGCAATGGATAACAAGTAGTCGTTGGACGAAGAGTAGTCGTCCATGCCCATGCCTGGTAAAACTTCAGTTTTTTACATTTAAAAAACACAATTTTGATAGTCTTTACTGCTTCCCAATGCCCACCCAGACCCGCTGTTACCCACATGTTGACAACCACTGTTAGCGTGGATATGGATATCAATGTTTTTGTCTAGCTTTGCCAGCAAATTACAAAAAAATATTACTTACATTTCCACACAAACACCTCATTCCTTGACCCTTGTCTCTTCCAGTGATGCTTTGAGTGCTTGATGTAAGGAACACAGTACACACAACTTTGACCATAAGGCATTTTCTTAAACCATCCATCAACTTTTTCATAATGTTACTTTTCACTGAAAAATATATATTTGGGCTTGTGGGTACTTGCAAGACAACTCCCATATCACTAAGAATAGGCTGAAATTTATCAAATCAAATTAAATTTAAACCAAGCGTATATATTACAATACCATGGATGTTGTTGTTGTTGTTGAAGAGTTAGGGCGCGCAGCAGCTTGGCTCAAGAGTCCAACAATACCATGGATGAAAGAACCTCCATCCATGACAATACAATGCATGACAATGCACAACAAAGACGAAAAATGTTTGTCAAGCTGTTGTTGCTCCGAATCTGAGCTGCTCTGGACCAATCAAACATCGAATCACGCCTGCAAACGCAGAAGTATTAAAGCGGATGCATCATCAGCAGGAACGTCGAACATGAAATTACGCCATTGCGATTCGACGTACGTCACATTAAAAAACATTTTTATGGCTTTGAGGTCAAAATGAGGTGTCTTACCGTATGCTTTGGTCTTTGGTATTCTCACCATCGATAGAATGATCAATTCTGTACATTTTTCAGCTTTAAATAGATCGCGACTCCCCCTTGTTTTTGAGGAATCATCCAGGGAAGGTGAAAGCGTCACCTTCTGCAAATGCAATGGTGACTTACCTTAGACGCAAAATTTCTGGTCTGTCGATTATTTATGCTCATAATCATGCACAGATAAATAAGAAAAATAGTTTTCCCGTCGGATAGGGTATAACTTTGGTAGCAACTAGCGGAAGATCTATACAAAATGTCCATTTTGTTCAAAATTGAGTGACAGACAAATGCAAAGTTTTATATTTGGGAGCAAAATTCAATGTCTTACCGTATGATTCTCTTTTGAAGAATTCTCATGCTTATATGAAAATGAATTCTGCGTTTTTTGACATTTTAAATAGACCGCGACTCTCTTTCGTTTTTGAGATATCGTGTGTGAAGTGTGCTGCGGGAGCCGTGTAGAACTGCAGCTCTAATTTACACTTCTTGTAATATATTAGAATTCAGGGCATATACTGTGATGAATTGTAGCTCATGTTATAGAAAAATCTTTTCTGAGCCTGAATATACCACATTTATTGACCAATACATGATAATTTACCCTATATTTGTCTTGAAACATTGCCTCTTCTCGACTCAAAAAGGGTCACGATCCATGGATATGCTCGAAATTCTAGAAAGCACTATTTGTAGATATTTTTGTGGATTTGTCATTAATTTTAATATTTGAAAACAGAAAAGAAGAGATATGTGCAACAAACGGCTATAACTTGAAATATTTGCTTTGGAAAAATGGTGCGAATGGCTTGATTTTATTTCCTTCATTAGCATACAGATTTTCTTGTCGGCTCCCCTCTGCTAATGCACTTCAAATTAATAAATGCATAATTAATATGGCCCAAATATGTCGCCTATTTTTCGTTTTTGGGTCTTAATGGCCAGCTGAAGAAAGTGGTCAAAATACCTTAGTGCTGTGGCGGCAAACCGGTTTTACCTAGTTCTCTATATACCGTGATCAGCAGGATACCTCGCAACTCATCCTCAGTCTGTTGTCAGATGAAGCCGGGCTAAGTTGACGAGGCTAACTTAGTACTTAGTTATTCTGCAATTGAGCTGCTACTGTTCAGTTCTAACACTAGGTTTGCATTTCAAAAGAAAGGTTAAATTTACATGCAAGGAAATAATCGAAGCCAAAACTGAAAATAATGCTGCTGAAGTCTCAGCGCAGAATCAAATGACTAATAGGTCCAGCGGACACTATCGCACTTGGCGCATAATGGCTGTGCTAAAGTCAGGTGAACCCCCAATATGTACATTTCATGGCTACTTTAATTGCAATTGACAGCTTTCACGCTATATACGCTCCTGTGCCTTACGTTTTTTTTTTCATCAGCGTCCTAAGATCGCATCAGCAGAATGCATATCGTCTCGGCCGACGCAAGGTTAACAGTCCTCTCAAGAGATGGCGCTGCGATCGAGTTGCGGAAAACCGATACATAGAGCATGGCACCATGGCCACAGTTAACCCGCGCGGGGCTGGGGTCTCCAGCCGAACGCGCGGGGCTGGGGGGGGGGGGGTAAATTTTACCCCCCCTGTTATCTCCCGAACTAATGGTCCGATTTGGAAAATTCAAACGCCAATCGAAAGCTCTCATCACGAACTACTAAAAACATGTACTTAATTTAAAGTTTGAGGTCAAGGTCAAGGTCAGGTCAAGGGTACAAATTGCAAGTTTCTACAGTATCGGCCTTGCACCGTAGTTGCCGAAGAATGGAGTCATGGACTGAGACTGATCGCCCAAAACGTGTTCTTAGGCTACCAAGACAATACTCGTTGCATACAATATCATTCAGAGGTCAAGGTCAAGGTCAGGTCAGGTCAGGTCACCAAAAAACAAAATATAGAAAAGGGCATGTGCGACACATGTTTTATGGGTCATTTTACTCATAGAATTCAATAGGCACACTCAATAAGTGATATGGACCACCTCTGGATGAATTTCAGGTCGAGGTCAGGTCAAGGTCAGGTCAAGTGAGGTCAAATTTTGAAGTTGGTTGTTAAGGCCTAAAAAGGTGTCTATCTGATGCAGTTTTTCACGGCGAATCGAATGGTGCTACTTTTGTTTCCGTACGAGCTCTAGAACTTCCAAAAAAAGTCATTTTTCAAAAAGTTTGTGTGTCGTGACGTCATAAAATTTTGAATAACTCCCACATTTTTGAACCGATTCTTCTAAAATTTGGTATGTAGGTGCACATAGACCACTTCTCTGACATATATTCCGGTTTTTTCGATAGACTCAAAATTTTGGATTTTATAATGATTTTCCCAAAAAAATCAGTTTTTTGAAAAAATTTAGGCCAAAATCCAAAATGTTCAAAAAACCGAGATAGCCATGTGATAGACAAAGTAAAATTACGTATAACCTTTTTTGTTACGTCTTGATTCCTTTAAAAATGAAGATGTTAGCGGCGTTTGAACTTTTGCCGTTTTTGAGGCGAAAATGGCGAACATGACGTCACTAAAACGTCAATTTCTCAAAAAATTTCCGACGGATTTCGCTCAAATTTTCAGGGAACGTGTCAAATTGATGTAAGAAAAGGTACTGAAAGTTTGGCGGCGCTGCGCGCCGCCGTTTTTGAGATATCGCAAAAATTCGCGAGGGGGGGTAAAATTTACCCCCCCAGCCCCGCGCGGGTTAAAGAGATACAGCCAACAGACTTGCAGAATAGGTTGAGGAATAGCTGAAGTTTCGAGGTATATATTTGAAAATAATTAATCATATGATATTTGTGCTCGAAACTCGCGTGCAGTGAAAATGTAGCGAAAAACCCGGTTGATTAATTGGCTGCGGCGACACGCAACCTCAACCAAAAAAATTGAAAAAATTCATACAGTCTTCTTGTGACATGCTCCGTAGGAATTTTGGTCTTCATTATGTGTCCTCGAAAAAAGTTCTCGGATGACCCGCCCTAGACTGATCAGGGCACCACTGCCCCCGGACGCGACACCGCCCTCTGCCGAGCCGTCGCTCCAGATCCAGGTCGCCTGGTCTGGCAGGGTCGCGAGGTGTTCTTCGGCCGCCGCCCGGCGGACCTCGTCGCGTGCCTCCCTGCTAATAGCCGCGCCGACGTCCAGCCGGATCGCCACCCCCGAACAGTCCGACCATGGAGGGAGGGTGATGTGTAGTCGCTCCTCCACGGGTGTCTCCTGAAGACCAAGCCGGGTGAGGGCCTCCCGTCCCACATCACGCCAGCCGGTGGTGGTCCGCAGTCGTCGGGGGGCTGTCCTCGCTGCTACCTCACGGAGAGGGTCATCAGTCCTCTGCGACGCCGCAGTGGCGGTCAGCCTGACGGCCAACGCCTCCCTGCGCGCCCGGACCGGGACCATGCCGGCCTCCGCCATCAGCGGGTCTCTCGGCGTGCTGATCGGGCAGCCGGTCACGACGCGCGCTGTGGCACGCATCTCCCTCTCAAGCAGCTCCACGTGCGACTCCGACGCCGCCGGGAGCCATGCCGCCGCCGCGTACTCGAGTACACCACGGACGTAACCGTTGGCGACGGTTCGCAGCTGCGGCTCTTGCAGGCCCCACGAGCGCGCCGTCAGCTTCCTCAGCTGGGCCACACGCGGCTTCACCTTGCGGCGGAGACGAGAGCAGTGCTCCCCGAAGTGGAGCAATCTGTCAAAGGTCACGCCGAGCAGATGGAGGTGTCGGGTGCCCTTGACTGCCGTGCCGTCCACCCTCAGCACGATGTCGCGGGCATCTTCGTGCCGTTGGGACAGTACCAGGACCTGCGTCTTACTGCCGCCAGCCGCATCTTCCACTTCCGCGCCCAGGCCGCCATCACGTCTGCAGCTCTCTGAGCGCGTACCATCGCTTGCGCAATGGTCGCTCCGGAGCTGAGGGTGGCGGTGTCGTCCGCGTACATGTAGATCGATGTGCCGTCAACCTTCCGGAGCTCCTCCACCAAGTCCGCCGACCACAGGGTGAACAGGGTCGGGGCGAGCACGGAGCCCTGGGGGAGACCCGCTCGGAAGGGACGGCTGCTGCTGCGGACGCCATTGACCTCCGCTCATGCACGTCGGTCTCGCAGGAAATGGAAGATCCACGTTGCGTAACACCGTGGGAGTCGGTGCAGCATCTTCAGACGCAGCATCTGGTGGTCGATCACATCGTAGGCTCTGGAGAAGTCGTAGGCGGTGAGTACGAACCTGGCGGCTGTCTTGCCGTCGGATGGACGTCCCTTCGGGGCTGGCAGGTTCCATCCATCCTGGACTTCCTGGATGAGGCGTCCCAGGTTCTCCTCCGCCGATCGACCGCGCCTGAAGCCCACTTGCTCGGCCGGGATGACGTTGTCGCGGTCCAGCAGGTGCGTCACCCTCGCCGACACCATCCGCTCTATCAGCTTCGCGATGTGGCTGGTCAGCGAGATGGGCCGGTAGCTTATGACGTCCTGTGGGTCTTTCCCGGCCTTGGGAATCGGTATGATGACCGCCCTTCTCCAGACGGACGGGACTTCAGCGGAGCGCCATGACAGGTTGAACAGGCGTAGCATCACCTCCTGGGCGAGTGGACCCAGGTGGCGCAAATGTTCGGTGCAGACACCGTCCATCCCCGGCGCTTTCTTGTTCTTCATTTTCCGCATCT